CAAACAATTTCACTCCTCTACAAATCACTTCATGCCCAGCACCTCCCGGTCTTTCTGACCTGCTTTCTCCGCACTTCAGGATCCACTACCTCCCCTTGGCCGACTCTGTACTCCTGCTTATCGCTCATCCCCTCTACTCCACAACCAGCAACCGCACTTTCAGCCATTATTCTCTGTAGCTCCCCCAATCTCTCTGCTTTGCCTCCTCCTTACCCTGTTTTATATCACGACTGAAGACCTTCATCTTCAACCGTGCTTACAGTCATCTCCTCCCTCCCCCCGGTTTGGGGTCAAGCTCCATCACTGTTGCGCACTCCGAGATGTTGCCTCGCATGAAGGGCGCTATATAAATGCAAGTCGTTGCTGTTGTATTTAATTCACTAGCACTTTAGTTGGAATTGTTGCTGAGTCGACATCTTCTTAATTTCAAAGATAGGATTTTCAAATTCCTGGATTAAAATTCTAAATGTCCATTTCAAGCTTGATAATTTTCTCACAAATTTTCATGTAAAAATCTCCAATTTTTTTTCTGCTAATGTGCCTCACTGCTATTCATTTATTTTCTCATCCATTGATGTTAAAGTGGCTATAAAGTTTCAAAAGGTATTTAAAGCGTGAAAAATGCCAAAACTGACTGCTTTATTCTGAATATATTTTTGTGTTTAATCTAACCCATTTAAAACCTTACAAGAATATTTGCGTTTGATATAGCATCTTGCCACGTCATCAAAACATCTCAAAGTGCTTCACAGGATTTTTAATGTAAAGTGTAGTGAGTGTGTATGGTAGCTACTTTGTGCACAGCAATGTCCCACCATCAACCATGAAGTGGATGACCAATTTTTGGGGGGGAACTGTTGGCCATGACACTTGGAGAAACTCCTGCCTTTTAAAATTGTGCCATGAGATCTTCAATGTCCACCTAAACAAGCAGCAGGGACCTCAGTTTAATGTGTCATCTGAAGGATAACCCCTCCAACAATGCAGTGACTGTATTGAAGTGTCAGCCTAGACCATGAATTCAAAGTCCTGAACTCCATATCCTTCTGATTCAGGTGCTACCAACTGAGTCAGGCTGACACCTTGATACCATCAACATACGAATGAAGTACACAAATGCCATAATTAATCAACATGGTTTTAGAAACTATCGAGTAAAATTTGAAGCATATCCTGGTTGCATTGATTATTAGTATAGACTGCGGGTGGGTGGGAAAAGGGTTAACAATTGAGAAGTTATTTTGCAGGTAGTAGTTGCTTGTACTTTGACCGAAGATGTACTTGAAGACTGGCAAGGATTGGGAAATGACCAAGGATTCGTCCTATAATGAGATGGAAACAAATTGGTTGGTGCAATTAATTTTAACCTGAAATCTTTCTGAAATAGAAGGAGTAGCGAGAGACTTTTGGTATCCTGCTCAACAATTCGCCAGATAAAAACAATTCACTTCATGGCTTTTTTTGGGACATTGGTGTACACTAATTGTCTGCCACATTTGTCTACAAATTCATTATACTTTACAGAAAACTCTTTAAAGCCTGTTTTGACATGACAAGTGTGAAGATTATTAAATGAATTTCAACAAAGTACAATTTAATCTCAGTTTTCAGTTGGTTAAATTCCCTCATTACCCCAATACTCTGGAGCCCCCAATACTTGGTTCTCAGTAGCCTGCAGTACAATAAAGCCAGTTTTGGGATGGATACATCACATGGTCATTCTTGGTATGAAAGAATTTATCAGATGCCTTGTTCTGTGAATGTGCTTTTTTTTAAAAAAAGTTAATGTTTTGTTGATATCTAAAGTCTGAAACATACCCTGTTTTTTTTTATCTGTGGATATTTTTTATGGACTATTTTAATGGTTCTAATCCACATCAGACCATGCAGGCATGTGTGGAAATCTTAAGCATGATGATGGATTTCCATGTGTTTCATTGAGAATGTGACCTAGCAAACAAATCCAATGTTAATCTTCAGAATGGGGGTTAAGGAGGGGAAAATAAAAGAGTGCAATGGAGCTGAACATTATATACATGGAACATTGGATGTGTCACATATGTACAATAGTTCCACAGGAATTTCTTTAAGTGCTCTGAGACACTGCCCGGTGTGGAGGGCGCTATATAAGTGTGAGTGCTGTTGCTTAACAGAAAATGTTTTAATTGTGGAGGATGCTGAGAAAGCTCAGTTTTATTAAATTAAACTCAAAGCAGAATAATTCAACAAGCAGAGCTTTCCATCCTCCCCCACACCCCACCCCCATACAGCAGACTCTAATGCTCCAAGATGTGGTAACAAAGCAGCATCTATCTGCAGCTAAAATGTCAAAAGTAACCATTTTTGGACAAATGATTTATTCTGCACCAACTGTAATAGTATACAATTTCAAACAAATGAATGATAAAGGACATTGAAACAATAAGGATGACTGTAGAGCATAATCCATAAAATTCTAGTTTTCATACAATAGTCACAATATCCAGCATACTTGCCAATTGTTCAATGGATCTCACAAATCTACATTTTAATCACATTTTTAAAAACTCAAAAAAGCTAATTTGTCAAAATTTTACAGCATATGATCTGGAGTCCTGTAGCTCAGTGGTTAGAGCACTCGCTTTGCAAGCGAGAGACCCGAGTTCAATTCCAGGCAGGGCGAAACCTTGGGCAAGTTTCCTTACTCCATACGCCTAATAATAATCCCTCCAAAAACCAAAAACAATAATAAATTGGTCATTTTCAATCTACGACTGTTTGTGGGTCATTGCTATGCGCGTTCGCCCACAAATATACGGTCAATTCACTTTACAGTGTGTTCTGTGAAGCGCTTTGGGATGTCCTCCCGACGTGAAAAGCGCTATATCAAATGCAAGGATTGGTTTCTTGTAATTTATAAATACATTATTGCAAAAAAAGAACTTGCATTAATGTAGCACCCAATATGCAGGATAGCATCTCCGAGTTTTAGGGTAATACTTAGTTAGGGAGAAATCAGAGTTAAGATTTTTTAAAGAAAGCTGGACAGGGTATGTAGTTGAGCTGATGACTGGATGGTCAACACAGACAAATACAAAGCCCTTGGCTCTGATTTGACGCCACCTGAAACCTGCGCATAATTATGCAGTTCCTGTGACAAAAGACCTTGAGGTAGTGTAGGGAGTAAAGAGTCAGATCAGTAATGTTAAGTGTTAAAATGTTACAAACTGATAAATAAGGCAAATGAGTAGTTTCTCTTTGAAAGGAGACATCTCAGTGGAAGATTACTCAAGTATCAACTTAACTCAGTTCGTAGAACTCTCACCTTTGCGTACGAAGGTCACATCAGGAATTAAACTCCAGTGCAATGCTGGGGGAGCATAGCATTGTAAGAGATGCCATCCTTCGAATGAGACGTTTAACCAGTGTCCCATCTGCCTATTTAGGTGGGATCGTATGGCATTATTTGAAAAAGAGATGGGAGTTTCTCCCAGTGGCCTGGCCAACAATCGTCCGGATAAAATTGGTCATTGACTTTGACTGTTTGTGGGACATTACATGCACAAATTGGCTGGCATGTTCACCTATAAATGCACAATCACAATTTACACTAAAAATCCTATGCAACACTTTGTGGAGATGTTTTGATGATATGAAAAGGTGCTATACCAAATGCAAGGGGTTAAATGGGTTAGCAATATTAAACCCAGAATAGCTTAATATATGCAAAGGCTGTAGGATAAGAGAGCAGAGGTTCAGGTTTGTGAAGAGTAATTTTTAAATCTTGTACCTATGTATTAATATTCCTGTATACAGGTGATTTAACAGCTGGGAAATAAAATCACCAGGAAGTGTGACAGAAACTGAGACACTGGACATTGAAGAAACAGCTTGATGCTGTAATGGGAGAATAGCAATGTGGATATTGTGGAAGGATGAGATCAAATGGGACAAATAGCCTCCTGATCACTCATGAATAAGAGAAATATGAATGCATTATTGTAGTTATCATACACTTTATGATTCAACAACAGCTTGCATTTATACAGCACCTTTCATATACCACCATTTCAGAGCAATTTAGAGATAGTGCTGGACACCTAGCAAGGTGTGTGTATGTGTGTGGGGGGGAAGGAGGGGAGAGCGAGAGAGCTTACTGAAAATATAGGTTTGCAGGGACTTTTAAATACAAAACAGGCTTCAGCCACTGATGGGGCAAAACAGACCTATGGGGACAAACATAAAAATGAGGCTAAAGGTTACAAAGGTAGGGAGGAGCTAGGGCGGGTAGGGATTTTTAGGTGAGCAAGGATCTAGTCTGAAGTTGTGCTAGATACCAGATGAGGACAGGATTAATGGCCATGCAAAGCATAGTTGCAGCTAGATTTAGGATGAGCAGGAACCTGTCAATAGAGCTGGGGAAAAGAGCATTAGACAAATCACTAGAAGTAATAAAGATGTGGATAAGGGTTTGGACTGCAATGGGTATGAGATAGGGACAGGAGCAAGAAATATGGAAAAGATGTAGTCTTGGCCGAATACAGGAAAAATCTGAGGGCCAAATAGAAATATTAGATTACACATTGGCTCAGTGGGATTAAGAGAACCAGGTTGAAATAATTGGAACCAGAGACATGGAAGTGTTGCTGGAGCAGAGTAGGAATGGGGTCCCAGTTTTGTCTTCATTGAACTGAAGAAAGCCAACGCTTATCCAGGACTTGTCCTAACATGAATAGACCTGTAACTAAAAAAAACAATGCAAGTTCAAGTCCCAGGTGGGAATCAAGAAGCAGAGATAGGTTTCAGTGTTGGCAGATATCCTCCCAACGTGAAAGGCGCTATATAAATGTAACTTTGTTGTTGTTGTCATGTAGAAATTTATTCAACATCTGTGAATGTCACCAAGGTGAAACATGCAGATGAGAAGAGAACTCTGACATACAAAGATGACTATGTGGGGCAGGAGAAGCCATCATCAGAAACACTTATGTGAAATTATTCAGAGGACAAGACACAGGATATTGATGGTTTATAAAATGTCATTTTATTTCATGTTACATTGCCATTACAAAGGGCATTAACATTTCCACAAGGCTTTCGGGAGAGGGAGGGGATCAATGATTAGCAACACAATGGAGTGGCTTATATCTCTCAACAATCACTGACAAACTGAACATGTGCACAAACCTGAAAAGAAAAGTACTATGCTTTTTTAAAAAAAATTATATTTCGGCACAGTCTGAACAAAGTTGCATTTCCCATTCCAGTGTATCAAAGGGCATGCATGTGATTTCCAGTCATCCACAAGCACAGCCTCACTTTAGCAGAAACATGCTGTATCAGTATACAAAGTGAATACTACAATTACATGGATGCTTTATTCATTTAGAAAAAGTGAATCTCAGAATGCCAAGAATACAGTGATTCTCAGAACACTAAAATTGTATTAAACAGGTATAATTTTTTAAACTTGATTTCTAATGCCTTGGGTCCCACAATATTTCCTAAAAATAAGTAATCTTTCACCCTATTACGTAGCACAAGGCCAGTCCTGCATAACATGTGCAACAACCACTTTGTTCTGTAATTATGCTAATATTAGTAGCACAGGGTTATTTTACTAGAGAGATGGGGGTGGGGGGGGAAAGAGGGGAGAGAGCCAATGCACATCCAAGCTAACATCTGCAGGATAATCCAAGAAAGGGGCCATGGGAAGAGCATTTCAAGCACATGTAGGGACACAAGCAAAAAAATATATAAAAAGCTCTGCAGTATACTCCGATTACTGTCTAGTACAGCAAATTTCTACCATTTGACTGTTCACATAGTACAAACACTGCAACTTTTAAGTATCTGTTGTAGTTTTGTTTTACAATATGAAACATTTTTGTCCTCTACATTTGGAAGTTACTCATGTTATAAAGTTAAGCTATTAATACTCTTCTACAGCAGTAACCGCACACCAGGAAGGCCAAACAACCAACACAAACCAAGGAATGGATTTATTTTAAAGCTGTGGTGTGTGTAAAGACTAAATTTTGGATTTTCCATACACAGCTATTCAGTATAGTACCGATGGGCTTTCATTGCTATAGGAATTGAGTGGAGCAAATTGGGAATGGAAACGTGTAAAAAGGTTCTGGGGATTGGACTCTATGAGCATTTAGTTTTCTCCAGCCTCAGTGGCCTCAGCATCTTCTGCTCCACTATCACATGTCCATAGCTAGAGAGAAAGAACATTTCATTAGTATAAATGTTATGCATGCATACATTGTTTTAGTTAACCATTTATTTGGTTGTGGTGTGTATGAATTCATATTCATGGTTCCAATTTAGTTTGAATATTCTTATCATGAATTAAAATCCAGCTAATTAGTAAATACCATCCACACTCTATACATTAAATACACAATAAATTCAAGCAATCTTTCCATACATTAACAGAGCAATCTGTGTATAATTCAACTGTTTCACCACTGTTATTTACTGAAAGCGAGTCTTTTATCCTTCTAACTAGACTATATTAACACAGCTATTATTGTCTGAGGTTAACAAAATGTGAGCATGGGGGTGGGAAGGTGGGAGAAGAGAAAAGGTAAAGTCAAGAATGGTGATATCTCTGCAGAACCCAGTCATATTCTTGCTCAGCAACCACACGTGTCACCAGGGATTTCAGAATAGGGTTCAGAAACCTTGGCTGATTTTGTCTTCTGTCACCTAAAGGTTTGAATCCAACTATAACAATCCTAAAGCTGAAATCAGGTCAGACCTGGAACATGTACGATTCAGCTATTCATTATATACTTGCTAACCCACTGAGGGAATTCTAACTTGGATTTGAATGAAATTAACCACATTTTTCATGCAGGAAGAGTGATGGAAATGCACTTCAAACAAAACACTTACTGTTAGGTTGTCTCTAAGCAACTGCATGATGAGGGTGCTGTCTTTGTAGGAATCATCTTTCAAATCTTCCAGCTGAGCAATCGAGTCATCAAAAGCCTAACACAAAACAGGAAGCTCAGTCAAATATTAGGAGAAAAAAAAATCACATTTAAAATAACCTTCCTAAATCTCAGATGCTCTGCCAACATGGACTGGTGTCGATGCACTTCAAATTGACTTTCCCAAATAAAATGACGCTAATTTTAATACTGTACCATTGACTTTTGGTCAGCCAAGTGTCGGCTGAAGGTTTGAATCCAACTATAACAATCTGCAGAAATCCTTCACCATGATTAAGGTTTCCCCAATGGAAACAACCTATTCTATGTCAATAATGGAAGGGGTACTCTTTCTGGAGGGACATACTCTGCTTACATACTTTCGCAGTGCATTAGGCACAGGTTAGCGAGAGCCAAAATTCGAGAACCCCAGACTGTATACTGGAGTACTGCTGGAGTTTAACCTCCTAAAAACCTGTTTAGTTTGCCATTTAGAACATTGTCTGGTAAGCATCCAGCTGCTTATCCAACTGAGATAGTTGGGAGATATTCAGGGATTTGGCAGGCAGGGTTATTAAAAGCCAAGTGGGAAGAATCCATACCACAGTGCACTCCCCAAGTCATGGTAACAAGCCACGCTACCTAGTGTGTTATCAGCAATGTCCTAGAGTGTACACACCTGGCTCAGAAACTAGTTTACTGAGACCACCACAGAGGGCTGACTTGGTTCTGACAATCCATTGAAGCATTGCACAGTGGAGTCAACTCGGGAGATCCTATTTACTTCTCCCTGAAGGATAGTCAGGTCAGTAATTGGTCAATTGACATCCAACAAGTATAAGTTTGAGCCCCCACTTGAGTTACATAGAATGATACAGCACAGAAACAGCCTATGCCAGTGTTTATACTGAACATAGGTCCCCACCTCTCCCATTCTCTTTTACCTTGTGTGTGCATCAAGGTTCCCTTAAATAAGTTGATTTGGGCTTTAACCACATCTTCTGGCAAAAAGTTCCACATTTTTATAAGCTTCTGTGTAAAGTTTCTTTTAAACTCACTACTAGATCTACTACTAGCTGTTTTATGTTTATGTCCCCTCGTTTTATTCACTAATAAGTGAAAACAGCACATCAATGACTATCGTATCAAAGCACTATCAAGTTCCTTCTCAATTTTCAACTCTGGAGAAAAACTTCAACCAGTCCAATTTTTCTGTATCCATTGATGCCTGCTATCATCCTCATAATACTACACTAATACTACAGTATCCTTCCCGTAATATGGTAACGAGAACTGTACACAAATGTAACCAAGGTGTATATAGATCTTGAAACTGGGTCCCCAAAAAGCACATTTATTTATAAATTTGTTCAACTGTTAAACAATGTAGTGAAACATTGCTTGCTGTGCAGCTTAGCAATGAGAACAATTTAAACCACATTTTTTTAAAAAAGCCATTCCTCCTATAGAATCTTACATTAGAATACATTAGAATATGCAGCACAGAAACAGGCCATTTGGCCCAACTGGTCTATGCTGGTGTTTATGCTCCACATGAGCCTCCTCCTGCCCTTCCTCAACTAAGCCTTCAAACATAACCTTCTATTCCTTTCTTTCTCATGTGCCTATCTAGCTTTCCCTTAAATACATCTATGCTATTTGCCTCAACAACTCCTTGTGGTAACATGTTCCACATTCCCACTACTCTCTGTGTGAAGAAATTTCTTCTAACTTCTCTATTTGATCTATTTAATAATAACACTTGCATTTGATATAGCGCTTTTCAAGTCTTCTAGATGTCCCAAAGCGCTTCACAGCATATACTGTAAAGTGAATTGACTGTATATTTGTGGACGAACGCGGCAGCCAATTGCGCACAGCAATGTCCCACGAACAGTCATGGATTGAAAATGACCAATTTATTATTGTTCTGTTTTTTTCAAGGGATTATTATTAGGCGAATGGAGTAAGAAAACTTGCCCAAGGTTTTGCCCTGCCTGGAATTGAACTCAGGTCTCTCACTTGCAAAGCGAGTGCTCCAACCACTGAGCTACAGGACGTTTGATGGCCCCTGGTTTTGGTCTCCCCCACAAGTGGAAACATCTTCCCTAAGTCTACCCTATCAAAACCTTTCATCATGTTAAAGACCTCTATCTCCTCTTTTCAAAAGAGTCTAAGCATGTTCAGCCTTTCCTCTCACGTCTGGGATCATCCTTGTGAATCTCCTTTGCACCCTCTCTAGCACCTCTACATCCCTTCTAATAATGTGGGGACCAAAACTGCACACAGTATCTAAGTGTGGTCTAACCAAGGTTCTATAGAAGTTTACCATAACTTCCCTACTTTTCATTTCTATCCTTCTAGAAATGAACCGCAATGCCGGGTTTGCCTTTTTTATGGCTTTATTAATATTACATTTAGTGTTATGTTAAAAAAATCCTCCTCTGGGGTTATAACTTTCCATCGCTGCCTCCGTTTAGATCATGACGTTTTAGCAATTAATGTGGTATAAGGCACCATTCTTTACAACAAGCAGAGAACAAAGTGGAGTTTTTAAACCAAGTACGTCTTGGGCAGATTGAATAGTTTGTAATATATGAACACTGCAACTTCATAATCTTAAAAAGTTACTTACTGACTTTGCCAGTAAACAGGCCTGTTCTGGAGAGTTGAGGATCTCATAGTAAAACACAGAGAAATTAAGAGCAAGACCCAGTCGGATTGGGTGTGTTGCTTCCATTGCTTTCTTACTAATATCAAACGCCTCCTGGTAGGCTGCCTGTGAACTGTCTATCGTTTCTGAAAGAAAAAAACAAATAAGCATTTAGTTCACTTGTGAATCTTCAACTCAATAGCTGCTGCGAGCATGCTAAATTAATGCCACCACAAAATTAAGCATTTGTATAACTGAAACCAAGTTGCCAATTTATAGTTCAAATTCTTGAATTGCAAAGCAATTCATACAAATGTTCACACAAAAAAAACTATGTACCTCAACTTCTATAGCTTTTCCTCATATCTCAAGTGCCTAATTTTAACACCAATCAACCTGCATTTCCTCCAATGTCACACTAATATTGGGGCAGAATTGGAATTATTTAATATTCCAAGTGTCAAGACCAGTTCACTGTACAACTTTAGCATAATTTCCTGAAATTTGTATTCTATTCCTTTAATTATACCTCACCAAGACCCGGAACTAACTTGTCAAAGGGGCAATGTCCCTCAGTTCTGACAAAAGGCCATCGACTGAAACATTAACTCGCTCTCCTCTCTCCAGACTTCTGCTTTTATTTCAGAGTTCCAGCATCTGCAGTATTTTGCCTTTTGTAATTTGTGTTTCCTAACTGCCTCATGACCAGTTAATGATTATGTGGGGGGGGGGGGGGGGTGCGCGGGAACAGGAGAGAGCCCAGTACCTGAATCGGGCAGGTCCATAGTACTCCAGAGCACACTTGATGATGGATTGACTAACCAACCAATTGTATGTAGGACTTGGAGGAGCAGACCAGTTACCTGGAGTTGGGATTCATCTCAGAGGTTGACATAACACCTTATGTCTGTGAGACATTTGAAAGCCCTTCACAGAATATACTATAAAGTGAATGGATTGTATATTTTGTGGATGAAAACAAAGTAATGGTTACATATGTCAGCAATATGTACATTTGGTACTGCCAGTATTTTTTAACATAATGATTAAACCCAAAGTAATTTTCAAATTATATTTGAAGAGGAACACTATAAATGTTTGAGCAAAGAACAAGGAATTAGGATTAGAATAGATAGCTCCAGTGGAGCAATCTCCAGCAGAAGTTTTCCATGTCATTTTTATTATTTAACAGGAAATTGTTTTAACATTTATTAAGCTCCAGGATTCAATTAATGCACAATCAGGTCTGCAAAAATGGGGGAAAAAAAAATGAAGTAAAGTACACTCAGATAAACATCTAAACTGTGGGTCAACCAAAATAAGTGACCTTTTTTTTGCTAAGTTTAATCACATTCATAACAGCAACATGACAGAATAGGTACCTTTAATAGTTTGCAAAATCCTCTAGTTTAATATGGACCAGCAAGTATTATGTATAACTATCTTCCATAAGGAAACGATTAATAGTAATTTTTCATCTGCTTTGTCCCTTATGCAAGAGCAAACATCTAACATGCATTTCTTTACTGCTGTTCAATAAAATTTAGGTCGATAGGTAAAGCTTGAATTTTAACACAGAAATTTTAATTATTTTGTTTTCAAATTATAAATGTACAGAAGAATTGAAATGAATTACTCTGCTTAATAAAAAATTATCTAGCTAGAACCCTTTGCACCCAAAGTACAAGACAACCCTATTAAAACTTTGGCTAGGATGCAAAATACTAAACAATGCACTATGATTGATCTACACATTAAAAAATGCTCCTGGTCTTGCTTCCAGATTATCAGGCCTCCAATACACATCAGTGAAATGGTTCCACGCTTCAATAACCACAAACTCCACGGGACAACTTTGTTTTAATCTCATGCTTTTGCAAGAACATTTAATAAACAGGGTCATCCTGTACAACAATGCTGCCCAAAACCAAAATATCCCACTTTAGAATGACCCTATTCTCAATGAAACTGTTTGGACTGCAATCCTTCCTATATTCCAACAGGAGCAGCTTTGCGGGCTGGCAAAAACGTTGCTCCTGCATTAGGATTATCCATCACCATTGGATGTATGCAAAATAAGGCAGGAATGAGGTGCATGTTGCAATTGTATTACTCAGCAGTGTACACCTCTGAGCAAGAACATTTCACTTACAGAACATACAATAACCACACTTCACAGTAAAATGCCTTGCCACTAAACAATGAGCCCTTCAGTCACCACTCTCCCAACTTCTGGAATTCCCCACCTCCATTTTTTCCACTCAAGGGGTGGTCGAAATCTGGATCCATCCACACCTTCAAGTGAGGTTGATAGATTTTTGGTAGGCCAAGGTATTAACAGATACGGGGAGAAAGCGAGAAATTAGAATTGAAAGGAATAGTTGAGGTACAGATCAGCCATGATCTAATTAAATAGCAGAACAGGCTTGAAGACCTCTAATGGCCTAATCCTGTTCCTATGTTCATTTCCCCCCTCCACTCCAGTCTGGGAATGCAACCTTAAAATCTACATCTTCAACCACACAGGTGGTCATGTCCCCTCCATTCTTTACTTGACATCTGACTCCACCAATGTGAAGCATTCCAAGACTAGCCAACGGCAGGGCGCTATATAAATGCTTCATTATTCTGCGTTAAAGTTTCAAATATATATATATATATATACACATAGATAGATTACTGGAACCTTAAGGTAGCTACAGATTCAAATACATTTGTCACTTATGGGAACACTTTCTGGTGCAGTTTGCAGCTTGGATTTAAATGATTTTAACTGGATGCTAAAAGGCTACTATAAATCAACGGTTTCTTAAATTTACCAGCACCATTAGTAGAGTAGAAGAGAAAACATTCTGAATATCAAGAAAATTTAGGTACAACCTCTAGAATCAAAAGCACCAAAGAAATATACATTTATATCAACTCTGTCATTATTACTAGTGCCAACCTAGCACTCTTCCTCATCCCTCAAGACAATTGAATCCAACACTTGCTTTTTTTTTTTGCACATGCCATTACTTAAACACGGCTCTTCAGAGCAGCAGTTTCTTCTGAAACCAGTCCATAATTAGTTGAAACTTAACATTCAAATTTGTGACTTTTACTTCTATTTAAATTTCCACTCTTTGTCCCAAAGCACATTAAAAACAACCACAAAATTACATTTGTATAGAGCCAAAACAGCTTTGGTTTATGGTTAAAATGTGCGAGACAGAATATGTTTATTCCAAAAACACTACATTTCCATTTCAATTGTGGAAATAGATTTTGAAATATATAAACCAATGATAAGTAAAAATGTATATTGAGAGAAGTGCATTGTACTATCTTTACACTGAAAGAACCAACACCCTCTCATGCTGCAATTTAAGAGAAACGCAGTCCTTTCAAAGACGTGTACTGGAGTCCTGTAGCTCAATGGTTAGAGCGCTCGTCTTGCAAGCGAGACACCTGGGTTAAATGCCAGGCCAGGCAAAATTCTTGGGCAAGTTTCCTTACTCTACTCGCCTGATAATAATCCCTCCAAAACAATAATAAATTGGTCATTTTCAATCCATGACCGTTTGTGGGACACTGCTGTGCACAATTGGCTGCCGCGTTTCGCCCACAAATATACAGTCAATTCACTTTACAGCATATTCTGTAAAGCGCTTTGAGACGTCTGGAAGACATGAAAAGCGCTATATCAAATGCAAGGATTATTATTATATCAGTTACTCTGGTAGGTCAATCCCTCAACAGCAATATCAAATATCTACCAATTTCAATGACTTGGAGATAGCAATCCCCCATTCCATATTAGTAATCCTTGCATTTGATATAGAGCCTTATCACATCTTTGAGGTGTCTCAAAGCACTTCACTGAATATACTGTGAATTCACTGTATATTTTGTGGGCGAAACCTGGCAGCCACAGTCATTGAATAATAATCGTTCTTGTATTTGGTATAGCATCTTTCACATCAGGAGGATGTCCCAAAGCTCTTCACAGAATTTACTGTGATGGACTGGCTGTGCATTTGCAGGCGAAACAGCAGACCGATTGCGCACAGCATACGCAGTCATGGAGTGAGTGACCAACTTTGTTTTGCGGATTTTTGACCCAGACAACCGGAGAAACTGTCTTCTCTTTCCGAAAAGTGTGAATGGGATTTTTAATGTGCAATTGAACAGGCAGACATATCCGTGGCTTAATGTCTCATCCAAAGGACAGCACCTCCAACAATGTACCTCTCACCCCCCCAGCACTGCATTAGTGTCAGCTTAGATTATACAAGTTCATCTCCTTGACTCACAACCATCTGACTCGAGAGACAAGTTACCACTGACACAAATGACCAGTTTCGCCAACTTTTGTGAGTAAGTTTGTATGCATTCAATCTGGGCCCGTTAATAACTAACCACTTTGTCACATACAGACCCACCCTAGGCTTCGAGGCATCCTCCTGTTGTGAAAGGTGCTACACGAATGCCAAATGTAAGTTGTTATAACATGTGCTTTGGGTCCATAACCCAAGACTCAGTCTTATAAGGAGGCACATTTTTAAAAAAAATATTACTGATTAGGTCTTCCAGGATCATAACTTATCTTCCTTCGGCTTCCACCCCACCTTAGCCAGCAATATTAAGCAGTTTGAGAGGTCCTCTTAACATGAAAGGTGCTATATAAATGTACAGGAAGCATCAGTGATGTTACTTCCTTCATGCACTCGTATAGCTCAGTCATAGTGAAACTGGTATACAAGTGGAATTACACAAAGCCAGCGTCGCCCTGTAATTTGAACTATCATTCTTATTTCATTTTGTGCTGAAAATTCTTCCATGAATACCTAAAAGTTATTCAAAGTATCTTACATCCCTTGACCATTCAATACAATATAGAATTCAGAGGTGTTGTGGTTTCCTGCATTCAACTGTTAGAGATGCATTGATATATAAAAAATATATCAATGTTATATATTACCCGCAATCTTAATCTTTCAATATTTAAATGGTTCAAATGTTTTAGTAAAGAGAGGTTTGCTTACTTTTTCGGTCCTCTCCAGAAGCAACTTCAGCAAGGTACCGATAGTAGTCTCCCTTCATCTTCAGGTAGAAGACCTTGCCTTCAGAACTCGAAGAGTTGGCAATTAAGTATTTATCCAACAATCCCTAGAGAGAAAAATATGCATATCAAATCACCAGTTATTTGAATCTATCTTCTGCCAAATTGCGATATTTCAATATAAGGTTGTAGCTCTTCCATTTGACAGCACTGATCTCTTGGTTTAAGTGATATCTAGTCCAGACATAAAGCTACAATAGACTTAAAACCCATTGCTGTAAGGAATTTTAAGATACAGGCTTTTAGTAAGTAGATTTGTTGCAACGTTTTATTGAAGCCATCTTTGCAGTACCTACACTATACTTTCTTTTCCAAATCTAAAATATCTTTTGATGATACCTTAAAGTCATGACCAATGCCACAAATAAATATTAACTCACCAAAGTTATTTAGCCTCGTAATGTAGTCAAGCAAATTGGAAAGGTTTACAATGGCTAACCTGGTTGTAATCCAATTTAGTGAAGGAGCAATCAAATGGCTAATGGGAAATTAAAACTCTGAACTGAACAGAAGATAAGCTTTGCAGCGTGCACGGGTTAGCATTAGGTGATGTCCACCCTGAGGCAAGCACAGTTTAACGTACAAAGATCTGTAGCAGAACAAAGCACTGTCCAAAAAATCATGGACAAAGCATTGCATCAAAATATCACTTGAATACTGCATTTTTCTTCTTCCTCTTAAAAAATTGGGTAAGTTAATATAGCTGCTTTCGATTCACAGCCTGGCCAAGTGAAATATTGGAGCTACACAGTGGAAATGCACAAAACACTTCAATAAATTGTTTTGCAAACAGAATATACATCACCACTAATTTCCTGACATAAGTAGCTTATTGATCAACAAAATGTAAGGAACGCCACAGCTTGTACAGGAGGAATACAAGCCAGACCATCGCTTTATCACTGTGTCAAATTCCTCAAACATCACCCAGGAAAAACAATTCATGCCCCCCACTGTACAATACTAATGTTTATCAAGAGGAAACCGTCTGGACCAAACACAATTATAGAAATCTTGCAAGTGTACGTCATTCTGCAGTTTTAATTGTATGACATTTAACATTCCAAATTCATGCAGTCATTTGTTTTTGTTTTCTTCTCTCCTCCCACCCCAATGTCTTGGGGACAGATTTCAGAGGATACTACCCATCACAAATTGCCACACTCACAAAACCCAAAAAAGAAAGGTTCTTTAGGCATAGATGTTTTATTACGGTTAAAAATTTAGTGGCAATCTAAGACAGCAGCCAATACAGTATAGTAAAATTCACAAAGATCTGATTTGCATAAATCATATTTATCCAAGTTGTACATCTGCCCAAGTCCCATTGAATTTCCTAATTATAAGTTTCACACAATTTATACTTTGCATTGGTCATATTAAATGTATGTTCCAAACTGATATGACTTATGTGATGTTTACTGTGTTGCCCAGCATTTCAGGTGGGTTCTGCATTAATCCAAAGGTTTTACCTAGCTTTAATAGATCACCTCCCATCAGTGCATCTCTGCTTTTGACTTCAAAGTGCACAGATGCTAGTTACGTAAACTCTTGTACGTTCCTAGCATCAGACTATAGGCATAAGGTTGGGGCAAAATGTGTTCCTGTGTCGATCCTTTTCTGTTTATAGAAGAATGTTGTGACACATTTCATGCTGAGCTGTGCCTTTCACCAGGAAGCTCGCAGGGAATTCTTGGTAAACTAATAAGTGAGGGCTCAAATCTGCTTATTTGATGTCAAAGTACCAACTATCCTCTTGGGTGGAGGGATGCAAAGGTTTGGCTTGAACGAGGGTCTCGACAGCCTGAGGGCCGAGGCAGTGGCAGAGCTGGGCGACATTGCAGAGATGGGGAAGGCAGAATGGTCATGTGGGGTACAGAGGACAGTTGAGGGTCAAACACAAAGCCAAGGTTCTCTAGTAGCTCAGTGAGGCGTAGAGTGCATCCATGGGTGGGTGATGCTATCAGCGCCTGAGGTACGGAGGCACTGACAGGAGACAAGCAGGTAGGCCTCGGTCTTGTTCACATTCAACTGGAGAAAGCTAGCTCTCATCCAGGACTTACAGAGTCCACAGCTTTTTTGTCAGACGATGACCACCACTACCCAGCCCCCCTCATATCCATTTCAGATTTAAGAGATGCAGAGAAAAAGGATGCCTGGCCCTTGATCCTGGAACAGCTTGGAAAGGATGCTGAATCTCTGCATAATCAGTGCCTTGAGATAAACCATAATCTGACGAGAATCAGTCACGTATTGACATAACACATTGGATAGGTACCCAAAGCACCCATCACACCCAGAGAATGGACACAGATTGCAGTGCTTAATGCCAGAACTGGAGGATAAGTGCCGATATTTGGCACCAAAGGTTAGTTAGTAAAACATGTGTTGCAACTGTAATTAACCATCACAACATAAAATGCTATTTCTTCCTATCCCCTTGAAGCAGTGAATGACAAGTACTGTACTGCAGGTTGCTAAAAATCTAATAGATCAAACTGAGGCATCCTCCTGGTCTACATCTCAATGCAACACTCAATGGATTACCATAATGAGCAATCAGTGAATAAAATTTATTTAACTTTTTAAACTGTTCCTTCACACCCAGAAGTGCTCCTACATCCTAAACATGAATTTCAAAAATAAAATGAAGATCATCCAGGTGATTAAATTAGCATTTCTAAACTAGATTACACGATAACAGCATGTCCATACGCGACACCCACAAGACAACTATACTTCTGCTAAAGTGTACTAATTGTGACAGACTAGTCACAAAATGTGCAGCAATAATGAGCTGTCTAGAAGGCCAAAATTATATAAATTTGTGGTCATGTATACATACAGCTAGAATATAACTAACCACCATTTCTCAATACAAATAGAGCAACAGATCATGCAATATAAAACAAAATACATGTGAAGATCTACAGAAACGTCCTGATATTTTGTAAGTGGAATCATGATTTTACAATTAGCCATCAGTACTTCAGACTTTTGCATATCATCACAAGATATTCATCAATCCTTAGTTTTGATACAGAGCCTATAATGTTTCACTGGTGATTGTGGTAAAGCATTGAGCATGCATTTACAGACAAACAACATGCACTATATATGTACAGCAAGTTGCCACAAATAGCTATAAAGTGTCTGACCACTATACCTGGAGGACTCCTGGCCAGGACATCAGGAAAAATTTCTTCTTTCAAATAATGAGTGACATCTTTAATGACTACCAATAAGGCCGACTATATCTCATTCAAAGGACAGTACCTCAAAATGCAGTGCTCCTCCAGAACCGCACTCAAGCTCACAGCCTAGATTGACTTCCAGGTCCCATATCATTTGACAATTAGGAAAGAATTAAGCAAACACCTCAACATTGGACTATCAGAAAGAACTGGGCTTTTTGCACAATCCCTTATCAAATCCATCTAAAGAGTTATTTACTACAGAACAGTGCAATAATTACATCTATGAAACAAGCCCGGTAAAGCATTCAAATGTCGCTGCATTTCCCATTCAATTCAAAGAGGGGCAGTGGTGGGGGGAGGAGACAAGTGGGTTATACTGCTTTTAAACATCAGTACAGAGCAAACTAATGCAAGTTTAAACCCCCCCTGATTTCATCCAGAATGTATGAGGAAGACACCAAGTGGACGCAAACATGTACACTAGATACATTGCTCAGCATCTGGGACGGTCAACACTAGTTTAGATAGCATCTTTTTCATTGCATAGCAGCACATAGGAAGGGGTAAAAAGTAGAGACAACACCTCAACACTGCTAATATTCTACTTACAAATCTCAAGTACAAATGATTTAGACCTTGAAATTTAGTTCCTAGGGACTGGTGTTGGTGGTGGGGGGTGATTCATATTAGTTCCTAGTTTTCAGGAATAAGCTGTTGTGTTTGTGTGGTGATGCACCAAGTGGAGAGGACAATGCACACGTGTGCGAGAACGTGCGTGTGGGGGACGATGACGACAGAAGGTACATAATGTGCCCAAAGGTAAATCAAACTGTTCTGGTACTCTACACTTGGTCTGTGAGACAAGAGTAATACCCCCAAAATATCTAAGAAACAAAGTTGCTGTACTTATATAAGAAAAGTGAAGATACATTTGCTGTGGTTTCATCTACGAATTGCAAAACTTAATTCCAGTAAGTAGGTTTTAAGTGAGTAAATATATTGGAACTAATATTGTGCTGCACTTGTATTTCCTGCAGGCAAATTTCCTCTCACTGCAGCACATATCCGCACATATCCATGCAACTTAAGTCAGTGCACATGTCAAGGAGACTCTTGGGTGCAGAAAATTCAATGTTCCAACTGGTGTAAGCACACAATCAGTTGGCTGTAGGTTCTCTAGAAATTCAAAGATCAGTACATACATTTGTCCAAAAGACTAATGTACATTAGGATGCAACATGATTAACTGAGAAACATCAATTTTGAAAGGGCATCCGACTCCAGGTAATTTATCCACTGCTGAATGACTCAATTCTAACATAAACCTAGAAAGGTTTATATAATCCTGGATAGGCTTACTTTTTGTCACAGTGTAGAACACCAGAAAGACATAGGGGCTCAGGGTGCATTGTGCTGAAGAGGATACAGGCTGCAGATGTCTGAAGTTTGTGTAGGGTGTAACTGAGGTGGTCAGGTATCAGAGCATTGGGAAATTCAAGTGTGCATGGGTTTTAGTTGTATTAAGGTGAAGTAAAGCGAGCAATGTTGCAGAAATGGAAGACTGCACACTTGGCCAGAGTCCAGGTAAAAGTTTTGAAGGAGAGTTGAGCATCAAATGAGATTCCACACAAGTTCTACGATTTGGAGGGAGTAATTGGGAATTCGATACAGTCAGTGGCCAAGGTGAGGAGGCACTGATGGGAGGCAAACAGTTTGGTCCATGTTGAGTTAGAGAAAATATTCTGGCTCATCCAGAAATTGGGGTCTGACAGGCAGTATGCTCTCCTACACATGAACAGTCACTAAACTTTACAGTGAATCCCATGAAGCATTTTAAGATGTCCTGATAGACACGATCAAACGCAAGGATCATCATGTTAGAACCACAGTGCATATAAATCAGCATTTTCTTACTCTATCCATATCAAAAGTATTTAAGTTGTAGATATACGTTCAGGCAATCAAGACAGGGGTCGGTAAACAGGGATGGTACTTGGAGCACTAGTACCAGCATAGACTCCTCCTGTACTGTGACCATCCTGTGATTTTATAAAATTGGATAGATTGTTACCTTCAGGGAACCAGTGACATACACTAAGTTATTGCTATCTTCTCTGCCCCTCCTCTTCAAGCAGGAATGTAACTGGAAAGTTAGGCAAAAATCATGTGTTTATTTAGTAGTGACATTCGTAGGTTGAACTGTTCATGGAGCAGAACGGCAACAACAACAAATTACATCTGTATGGTGCCTTTCACATCTGGAGGATGCCCTAAGGCACTGGACAGTCTCAGATTTGCGCTTGAGCTGTGGTTGGGATTAGGCGGGTGGACAAAGAGAAAAGTCTTGAGATGGGCAAAGGGACTATGGGATGAGGGTGGGCAGAACGGCTGATGGTGAGGCAGGCAGGGACATGGAGCAGGCCAGAGCCTGATGAGCGGAGAGGCAACAAAGTAAAACTCAAGGAAGGTGATGTCTAGATTATAATGGACTGCTCAATTTTATAAATGCACTCAAGCTTCTCCAAGGCGCAAAGTCTCTTGCCTCATTTCCAGAACCAACCAGCAAACAGGTCCCTTACTAAACTATTAACTCCCAGGAGATCAAATGCACTAATTACATCCATGGAAATGTCCATGACCTGGATTGCCCATTCTCAGGGGAGTACCAACATGGTGGGGCATAAATTAGATTATTCTTCAAATTAAGCAATTTAAAATCAGGTTTCAGCTTTTAAAAATATGTTCAAAGTGTCGTTTAGTTAACCCCCTACATGAAAATATTAAATTATTATAATTTTACTTGGGTGTGAGAGTGCATGCGTGTGGGTGGGGCAGGAAGTAATCCAGTAAGATTAAGGATCAAGACTGCGGCTACTGCAATAAAAGAAATATCCTGAAAGGATTTAGACTAAAAATTTAGTAGTTTCCAATAGTCAAATTAACTAAAAGGATCAAAACGTATCAAATGTCTATACAACCAACCTACACAGTAGACAAAAAAATTGTTCCATGCTTAATAAACACTTCACATTTATCAGAAGTTAAATATGCAGAATACGATGATTGATTTGTTGTCTAGCAACTGTCATTTAATCTGATCGATCATGCAAATCAGACATATTGCTTTGCCAACTGCCTGCAAATCCTGTAGCTCAGTGGTTAGAGCACTCGCCTCGCAAGCGAGAAACCTGGGTTTGATTCCCAGCAGGGCAAAACACTGGGCAAGTATCCTTACTCCACACGCCTGATAATAATCCCGCAAGAAAAAAAATCGGTCATTTCAATCCATGACTGTTTATGGGACACTGCTGTGCGCAATTGGCTGCTGCATTTCGCCTACAAATATACAGTCAATTCACTTTACAGTATATTCTGTGAAGCGCTTTACGACGTCTCAAAGATGTGATAAGGCGCTGTATCAAATGCAAGGATTACTATTATTAATAAGCCTAAATCCCTTCCAGAAGATTTTTATTGATTACAAAAGGCAACTCTTTACATCTGAACTCTGTACCTGCAGAGTTAACAGCTAACAGGAGATTTAATGCAACAGATTTGAGTTTAAAAGAAACGGCGTCTCTGAATGCAATGAATTCGAAATTATACAACTACAAATAGGAGTCTTATTCTTTCAAACTGAAAAAGGAAAATGAAAGACAAACAGCAAGGTGAACTGATACGTGCTTCAGCATATATGACTTTCAATGCTGCAAAATAGGGAACCTTATTATACACAGCAAAGGAATCATATTTAGGACCCTTCTCTATACCGATCCAGAATAATCAGAACTGTAAAAGCCGACGTTACAACTTCAATTTAAGCTTTGGGTATTTCACTGACAATATCCGAGGTGCATGTAGAAGCTTCGAATCTAGAAGAGAAAAAACTACTGGCGCAAGTTGATTAAGCAAATATATTCCTTTTAAACATTTACTATTCCTATCCACTGGATTTCAGTGGATATTTCGCATTTGTCCAGAAAGCAATGACATTTTCCATTTCAAAACCAGGCCAACTCAGCCAGAGCTGGAACACGAATTTCAGCAGCGCTTGTTAAGCTCGTCAAACGTCAAGCGATACATTTATTACATGTATAATTGCTGCAAATGTTACAAAGTCATTCATTGCAACTACAGCAAAGACAAGATACGAACAAGAAATAACTCAACTAAAATCAAAGACACGGTATGATTCACAGCAATTCACCCCACCCAGCGTACACGCCCTAGTTGGATAGATTGACCCCAGCCTATTGCCGTCAATTCCATCATGCATTTAAGTACAGTAAACTAGCGCACTGATCTGGAATGTTTCCGATAGCTAAATTCCACGACAAGCTGCTACAAATTCAGGCTGACAAATTTGGCTAGTTCCTGTGGAGCTAAAAGGCGTGGCTCTCCTCTGCAAACAAAAACCCTGACTGGACAAACCTGTACTCTGAAAAGGGAAATCAGTGGTGGGGGGGGGGGGGGGGGGGTTGCGGGTGGAGAAACTAATTTTATTTTTACTTTTTTTAAAAAAAACTCTAAAGCCTTAACTGGTCAATTTTGGTCTTGCGACCTTCAGCTACTAAAGAAATTCACCCAGTGCAGTATTGAAATTAACTATCGATTCCAAAATAAGCAATTTAAAGCATTTCAAGTAAAATCTGAATCGAACGGCCACATTCTCTAGTAACAGAACTACAAAAAACAACCTATATACAATCATATTAAACATCCTTAAGTTATGTAAGAACAAAAAAGCTAGAACTACACTAAATGATATGGGGGGGGAGAAAAAAATCATTCATTTAGGACGGAATGAATGAATGATGGCGGTGAACTTTCTATATTGCTGTCGAGCAGAAAGCACACATCTACATCAATGCCACATATTAAGAAACAACTAATTGACTTATTCAATAGTATGTATGCCGTGTACCTACAACAAGCATCAGACAGAATGATACAAGTAGGAAGTAAACCTAGTTGTTTTCTCTATGGACACAAAAGGCTAATATTACACATTCTACACTAACAATCCAATTATTACATAAAAGTCACAGGCCTCAGGTAAACTAAAGAGAAAAATTTGAGCCAATTTCAAGTCTATCAAAGTATAAAATACTATTAGGTTACATAGAGAAACAATCTTTCAAGCTACTTTCAATATTTTTGAGTTAGTAGCACTTATCTACAAGGAGCACCCTCTACTAACCTAAAGATTTGTGCAACTATATAGATTTTTGTGCTTTGTAGATTTTTAAATTTGAAATGACCTCTCGATAAAGACAGCTCGAGTTGCATTTCATTATTCATCCTGTTCACTGTATTTATGAAAAAAAGGAGATTGCGTTCTGGCTAGTATTTCAGACGAGAGTTAAACTTAATATTGAGAGCATTCCCCACACCCTTCTTTGTTCTCTTTCTTACCAGAACTTCGTTGCAGATATCTCGGAGCTCCTTTTCGATTTTCTCCCGCTCCTCTTTCACCAATTGCGATTTCTTGTCTTCATTTTCGTTTTTCTGCTCGATGCTGGAAATGACCCTCCAGGCGGACCGGCGTGCCCCGACCACGTTCTTGTAGGCGACTGAGAGCAGGTTCCTCTCCTCGTTGGACAGCTCGTGTCCCTCCTGGGTCACCTCTTTCATGTAAGTGGCCATGTCCTCGTACCTCTCGGCCTGCTCGGCAAGCTTGGCTTTCTGAATCATTATGCTCTTCTCCGAATTATCTTCCTCAACAGGCACCTTGTTCTGCTCCTGCTCTACCTTGGTCTGCTCCTGCACTGCCTTGGTCTGCTCGACCGTCTCCATTTGCAATGCTATGGTGGTGCTGCTTCTCTCTGGGGCTGGTGTGTGTATGTATGGCTGTGTGTGTGTGTGTGTGAGATGCCTGTCGTCTGTTGGTCTCTGAGCACCGCTTTTTTACTTGGCTTCAGGTCAGGGAAGGAGACTGCAGGGAGAGAGACCAGGAGTCAGTGAGTCGAATAAATCGTCGGGAGGATACAGAGTGAGTGAGTAGTGAGTGAGTGAGTGATGGAGGGAGTGATGGAGGGAGGGAGGGGTGTGTGTGTGTGTGTGGGCGGAGAGTAAAAGATCTCTTTATCAGTCTGGATTCGTAAAACATATTCATCTCTTATTTAAACCCAAATCTCTGCTGAAGAAGGGAAAGGGCGACTTTCTTCTAATATAAAACACGGTCAACAAAGACAGGTCGCGAGGCTTATTTTTTTTGAAAAAAATGTAATTGTAAAAAATCCGTTTAGCTCAAAGGTGCAATCGATATATATATATATGTATAAAAACGGGCAATATATATATATATATGTTATATATTTGGCGGGGAGACTTGGCGCATTTTAAAATCGGCGAGAGAAAAAAAAGGGAGAAAGAGAGAGAGAGAGAGAGGGAGGGAGGGAAGGGGGGAGGAGGGAGGAGATAGTAAAGGTAAGAGAGGAAGAGAGGGGTCGACTCACGAAAAGTTACAACACGAAAGACATGAATTAAACCCCACTCTCAAACCCAGAGCTCAGCTCACGGCACTCCGCGGCCCGTCACCGTGTGCGGGGCTCACCGCTCCTCCCTCAGCACAATCCGCCTCCTCTCGTCTACCCCATCACACATTACCCAGGCCCGGCCCTGCCCGCCTGCCCTGCCCGCCCGCCCGGCCCGCGCTCACCTCAGACACTGCTCTCAGCACAGCCACAGCTCCTCTCTGGCTGCAGGAAGGAGAAGCGGCGACAAGAAGCCTCCAGTCTCCTCCTCCTCCTCCTCGCGCGCCGTGGGCGGGCAGAGGGGGCGGGACCTCTCCGCGCTCGCGGACTGACTGACGTGCTGTTCGGCCCAATCGTGCGACCGCTTCCGCTCCCGGCTGTCAGCGTCCGACCAATGGCCAGCGAGCGGCTGGGGGTGGGGGGGTCCACGGGGTTTCCTCCAATTAGACGCAGGGTCAGGTGACGTTACTGTCGCCATGGCGACGCGCCGGTCAGCCGAGCCCCCCCCCCCCCCGGGCAGCCCGTGTCTGTCTGCGGCCCAGGGCGCGGCTCCCGACCTCACAGTAAAGGTCGTTTGGACAAGATGGGGGTTTGAGCGCTTCGTGGAAGAGGTTCGTGTCAGGAGCAGAAGGTTTCGGTGCGAAACCAAAGGCTTTCCCCCCCTCCCTCCTCCCCGCCATTCAGCGACATTCAACTGCTAAAACCGGTGGCGTTCACTGCTCACTCCGGTCTCCCCACCACAGCCCACGACAGGTCGGCGCCGGGGAATGTGACCGGGTTTAGCGAACGTGCGATCAGCTTTCGCTGCTTACAGTGTTTTAACTTGTTTCTGGGGCAGTAGCAATAGGGTCACACACACACACACAGAGAGAGAGAGAGAGAGAGGTAGAGAGAGAGGTCAGAGTTAACTGCACTACCCGTAACACTGCGTTCAAATAATACCTTTCAGAGGTTCGTTTTAAGAAAAAAAATTAAATTTTTTTTCGCGTCTGCAACAAAACGTGTGAAGTGTACGGGAGGTGACATCTTAGTTATTAATCCTGAGGGAGAAAATACTTCGGAAGAGGACGTGTGAAGGGAATTCGGTAGCAGCAGATGTGTTTCCTACGGGGGTGACGAAGCCACCGGAGCGGAATAACATGGGGTGCATCACCCATTCGCTGCAGCAAACGTCGGCATTATTTCACTTGAATTTAGCACTGGAGCAGCATATAACTACGTTCAAATTGTTAAATCACTGCGGTTGTCCGGCCATTTCTATGGTATCTTCACAACTTTACATTTTTTATAGCCTTTTGGATAATATTCCGTGTCCTTGGAAACTTTTGTCTCGAGTCCATATCTGATATATAATAGAAACAGGTTAAAAAATAACGAGCCCAACTGATGAATGTTATAAAGCTGCATCTTATTTTCCTAGAAGTGTAAAAGAATTAGTCATAGGATGATCAATACCCACCCCATCATTAATGATTCAGGGCGATTAGATGGTGAAATGGGTGTGTGAAAGGAATCCTTCGGGAATTGTAGTGGGCACAGTGAGATCTAAATATCCTTCCCATCAATGTCATGAATAAGATTATCCTTCAGGAAAAAAAAACTAGATTCGAAAAAAATCTACAGGAACTGTTAAACGTTTTGCATTTCCTGCAAGTAGGATCCTTATTGACAGAGATTGTTGTTTGTGCAGAGAATCTCAGCAGGTCTCTGAATGTCAATACATTCTGTACCCTGTGTGTAAAGAATAGAGTATTTCTTGATTACAGATTAAAATTGCCCTTCCCAACCCAGGACCTTTTGTCGAGATGTCTCAGCAAATTGTCAGTGTGTCATTCTGGCTCATTTGGTAACACTGGCCTCTGAGTCAGAAGGGTGTGGGCTCAATCCCTGTGTTGGATCTTTGAACTGGTATATAGATGTGACACTCTCATGCAGTGCTGGGGGTGCGCTTTATTGCCAGAGGTGCTGTTCTTTGGAGTTGGACATCAGTGATCCCATGGCACTGTTTTAAAAGAGGAGAGTTTCTCTCATTGTTCTGACCAACAATCCCCCAGATACAATTGGTCACACACTTCATGGTTGATTGTGGGACATTGCTGTGCACAAATTACCTGCAGCTCTTTTCTACAAATTACAGTCACTACACTTTACAATATCCAACATTATCCTGCGAAGCGCTTTTTAAACCAGCCTCCCAACAACAATGGTACTAAATCAAAAGGAAGGATTATTATTTACTTAAATTAAAACTATTGTTTTGGGTTTAATTTATGCTAATTAGCATTTTATATATATATATCTAATACCCTTGAAAACATTTATGTGTCGCTTTCTAGTATCCAATAGGAACAGGTTAGAAGTAACAAGTAAAATGGATAATTGTAATAAAGTTGCACATTTTAATGGACATATAAAATAACTTATTGTAATTGTGCAGTAATAATAAGATGCAACTTTATAACAATTATCAATCATGGTTGTTACTTTCAACCTGTTTTTATTGTATCAGATAGAAACACTTAAAACATTTGAAGGCACAAATTGTAACACCCACCTCTGGGTCAGAAGGCAGTGGGTTTGAAGCCCCACATCAGGACCTGGAATACAAACTACGATAACACTCCAATATAGTGCTGGGGCTGTGCTGCATTGTTGGAGGTGCCGTTCTTCAGATGAGACGTTAGACCACGTCTGCATGTTCAGGTGGATGCTAAAGATCTCATGGCAATTTTCAAAGAGTGAATGGAGTTTCTCCGAGGTGTCCTGGCCAACAATTCCTCTAAAATAAAAAAAAGTAATTTACTTCATGGCTGCTTGTAGGACATTGCTATGTGTAAAATTGGCTGCACCATTTTCCCTCAAAATATACATAGTCACTCCATTTTACAGTATGGGAAGTCGTCCTGCTTTACCAAATGTAAGGAGTATTAAGTCCTCCAAGATACTATTTCGTGTTAAGGGCATGATATAAATTGTTGTTGATTTACTGGCTTTCTTCTCATTTTAATTATGACAGTTTCTTCATCTGTAACCAGACCTCCCTTTGTCTCCTAGTTCTTCTCGACCTGTATAACACCTTTGGGACTGTAAACCACTTTATCTTTCTCTGCCATCTCTCCTCCAACACTAGACTAGACCATGCTCTTTGATAAATCGTCCTGACATAAAGGGGGCTATATCAAATGCAAGAGTTATTATTATTAATAGTGTGGATAAGATGGATTCTAAGAACAATTCATGTTCTAACAACTACTTGCTTTCTGCTTTGCATCCCACCTTGACTTCTCTGATACTTCAATATAAAACAATTTTGACCTGAATAGGCATGCACATTCCACAATTCATGGTGCTTCACTGTCAGGAATACATACAGAATGCAATGATTGCATAGGTAAGCTGTTTTTGGGAATGTGTGCAATTCCCCAAATATCTCTCTGCAATGCCAATTCTGGGAATGCACATACCATTCAATGTGCACAAATGTAAGCTGGTTCAGGGAATGAGTGTGCCTCATATTTCACGCACTGTTAATCAGATGTTGCAAAATAAATTCTGATTTTCACTGAATCTATTTTGTCATACATGTTCTTCATCTAATTTTCTCCCTCTTTTTGTCCTTGAACCCCGCCTCCACCCATCCCGAAAAACCCCTGGTCTTTTATTTTGACTGAGCTGAAGTTAGTGGTGGTTTGGTTGTGATGCCTCTGAAGATAAATAACTTGCCATCATTCACTGTTATTAATCCTTGAATTTGATATAGTACCTTTTGTATTGTAAGGTCATCTCAAAGTGCTTTACAGGATTTACTGAAAATGTAGTTCCTGTTGTACTCAAGTCTCTGGGACATAAGATTGTGGGGTTCAAGCCCACTTTGGACTTGAAAATCCTAATCTAGACTGACTTGCCAATGCACAATTGTAGTGGAGAACTGTATTGTTGGAGTCGACATCGTTCAGATGAGCCTCATTGGCTTTATTTGTATTAAGACTCAAACACAAATAATAGATACTTTGAATTGGCACTAAAGGTTGGTGTGCACACGTGGAACCATATTCATCCTTGCATTTGATAGAGCATCTATAATGTCTTACAACAGTTCTGTGAATTGTAGTGACTCTTTGTGGTGAACACAACAGCCAATTTGTACATAGCACATCCACTTGAACAGGCAGACAGACACTTGAACAGAATCTTGGTTTAACTTCTCATCCGAAGGATGGAACCACCGACAATATGGTGCCCCAACATTGCGCAGGAGTGTCAGCCCACACTATGACCTGAAAGATCCAATATGAAGGTTGAACCCACAACCTTTTGATCCAGGAGTGAGAGTGTTACCAACTGAGCCAGGTTATACCTGGTAATCTAGCCCTTTAAGTGGAAAAAAAACATCCTATGAGGAGGAAGGGAAAAATTGAAAAGACAAAAAAAGCTACTATGGAACTCTATTCCAGCAGTGTTAATAATAATAATAAAGCTAGCATTTGATGTAGCACCTTATCACGTCTTCTCATTGCACTTCACAGAGTGAATTCACTATACGTTTTGTGGACAAAACAAAATGATGGCTATGGCTACATATGTCAGCAATATGGCTGACCCTAAAAATTGGTACCACCCAGTAATTGTTTAAATAGTGACTAAACCCATTGTAATTTTCAAAATATACTTGGAGAATTTTCTATAGTTCACATGTTTATTGTGAAACATTATCCGACACATCTTGTATTAACAAAAGGTAATCCCCCAGTGTCAATTTGAATCTTTCCACTGTTAATTTAAATCTTATGTTATTCTGCGATCAATGACATCCTTGTTGATGTGGACAACTTCCCTTTGTGATAGTGTAGATTGTGTTAAAGGCTTCTAGCAACATGTATTTATTTTTAATCTCCAAAGCTTGTGAAGAACTCATAGTAGTGAATCCTTCATCTGAGGGTTTAAGAATTTTTGACTGCCTTTTCCATTTCTTTTTGCTTTTTGTGTAAAGAATAGAGTAGGGATTCTTCCCACTCAGTACCTTTCAATTTTGCAGGGAAAGTACTAATGGGTAAGGTGGCCGCAGCTGGACAAGCCATGGGAAGCTTGCCAGATAATGCTTTCAATGGCAGTCCAGCTGTACCCCAATACACAAGTTCTTGACAATCTGCACTTGACATTCTCTGAAATGAGGTAAGCAGGGAGCATCCAGAGAGAGAGTGCACATCCTCTTCTAGACATAGAGAAATTGCGATGTGTCGGTGGCACATCGTATGAAACTGTCAGTCTGGTTTGGATACTTTTAAGC